GGCCCTGCAGCAGAGCCTGCTGACCATGGAGGAGATCCAGTCCGTGGAGGAGACGCAGATCAAGGAGCGCAAGTGCCTGCTCCTCAAGATCCGCGGTGGGAAACAGTTCGTTTTGCAGTGCGACGTGAGTGGGGGCTGGGCTGGGGGTGGGAGGGCCGAGGGGCCAGGCCAGGCAGGCTGGGGAGAGCCCCAGCTAACAGAGCTGGGCTTGGCATGTGTAGAGCGACCCTGAACTGGTGCAGTGGAAGAAGGAGCTGCGTGACGCCTACCGCGAGGCCCAGCAGCTGGTGCAGCGGGTGCCCAAGATGAAGAACAAGCCGCGCTCGCCCGTGGTGGAGCTGAGCAAGGTGCCGCTGGTCCAGCGCGGCAGTGCCAACGGCCTCTGACCCGCCCGCCCGCCTTTTATAAACCTCTAATTTATTTTGTCGAATTTTTATTATTTGTTTTCCCGCCAAGCGGAAAAGGTTTTATTTTGTAATTATTGTGATTTCCTGTGGCCCCAGCCTGGCCCAGCTCCCCCGGGAGGGGCCTGCTTGCCTCAGCTCCTGCTGCACCAACCCAGCCGCTGCCCGGCACCCACCGTCCTGACCCCAGGGGCTGCCCACTCCCAGTGTCTTCCTGTGGGAGAAGAGCACAGCCCTCTCGCCCCTTCCCTGAGGGATGATGCCACACCAAGCTGTGCCACCCTGGGCTCTGTGGGCTGCACTCTGTGCCCACGGGCACTGCTGAGTGGCCCAGCCTCCCTCACTGGGGCGGGCGCAGCACAGGGATCCGACTGAATTTTCCCACTGCACCCCTCCTGCTGCAGAGGGGCAGGCCCTGCACTGTCCTGCCCCACAGCGTTGGTGAGAGGAGGGGCCTGTTGTCTCCCTGGTCCCCAAGGCCTCCCACAGTGACTCGGGCTCCTGTGCCCTTATTCAGGAAAAGCCTCGGTGTCACTGGCTGCCTCCACTCCCACTTCCCTGACACTGCAGGGCTCGGCTGAGAGGGTGGCATTGGCGGCAGGTGCTGCTACCCTCCCTTCTGTCCCCTCTTGCCCCAACCCCCAGCACCTGGGCTCAGGGACCACAGCAAGGCTACTGTGGGTTGGGCCATACTGGCCTCGCCTGGCCTGAGGTCTCCCCGATGCTGGGGCGGGTGCGACCCCTTCTGCCCAGGACGGGGCCGGCCAGGTGGGCGGGCAGCACATCAAGGAGGCTGGCTGGGGCCTGTCAGTGTGCTCCCCACCCCGGCCCATCAGTGTACCCTTGCCCAGGCTGGCCAACCCCACAGCCCACGTCCTGTCAGTGCCGCCACCTTGGGGCGCCGCCTCGCCCACCGCATGCCCCCTCGTGCCAGTCACGCTGCCTGTGTGGTGTCGCGCCTTCTCCCCCCCGGGGCTGGGTTGGCGCACCCTCCCCTCCCGTCTACTCATTCCCCGGGGCGTTTCTTTGCCGATTTTTGAATGTGATTTTAAAGAGTGAAAAATGAGACTATGCGTTTTTATAAAAAATGGTGCCTGATTCGGCTGTCTCAGACTCTTTGTACCTGGTGACTGCTTTTCAGCCTCTGCTGGGCTGGGGCCCGAGGGGGAGGGTCTCGGTGGTACCAGGTCTCCTCCACCACCACGGCTTCCAGGGTGGCCTGCTGGGGCCCAGGCCATCTTCCCGGTGGGGTGAGGCAGTGAGTCCCACTCCCCCTCCTGCCCTTCCCAGCTGGCAGTCCTCCCGCCTAGTGGCTGTCCAGTGCCCATTCCTCACCTTTTCTCAGGGAGGAGAGAGCAGCTTCTGCCACTTACCAGGTAAGTAGGAGGAGGTGCCAGCAGCGTTACATCTGGTGCAGTGTCTGGGCTGACTGTAGGAGGAGGTGCCAGCAGCGTTACATCTGGTGCAGCGTCTGGGCTGACTGCGACCTTCTCAGGCCCACAGAACACGCCTGCACAGCAGGCTCCAAGCTGACGCCCCTCCCCAGAAACAGTCACAAGGCATGTCTGCTCTCTAGATCGCGCCGCAGGCCCTTGGCCATCTCTGGCTTCAGCCTCCTCTCTGTTCTCACTGCACAGCCCTAGTAGGGGTCCCTGAGGCCTGAGGGGAACCCCAGCACTAGGCCTCTCCTCTACCCAGAGGCTTCTGGTCAACTTCCCTTTCCCCACGTCCCTACCCTGCGGGCCCCCGGGGTGACTACACAGATGGGTGGTGTTGCCCACTCCACACAGGGCTTTGCTGGGCATGGCTGGGGCCCATGGCCAAAGCACAGCATGCCAGGCAAAGAAGGGAGGCAGGCAGCTGGGCAGGGTACTCTGGGCTGAATACAAAAGAGTCAGGGGCAGTGGCTTTTGAGCCAGGCCTCCAGCATTGGTGTGGGAAGGAAGGAGGACATTTCTGAGGCAGGGAAGAGCCAGGCACTCATGAGTGGCCCAGGCTGGCCGGAGGACTATGGGAAGGAGCCATGCCTGGAGGCCCTGAATGCCTGGCTTAACCTATTCCAGAGCCAGGTGTGCGCTTGGGGACTGTAGAATGAAGATACAAACGACATGGAGTCCAGACCGGCCGTGCTCAGGGAGCCCTTGAAGGCGCTGAACAGGGCTGAGGGTAGTGAGAGCTGGCTCTAAAGTGACTGCTTGGTTACTGAGTGCAGGATGTGGGGAGGGAGGCGAAGGACAGGAGGCAGGGAGACAAACCGCTGCAGTGGGAGAGGAGGAGATGAAAAGAGGGCAAATGGGAAGAATGTGGTCCAGCAGAAACAGGCTGGACTTGAGGCTGAGCAAGGCAGGAGTCTGGGAAAGGGTAGGTGTGGTTGGGTTGGCTTCAGACACACTGATGGGATAGCATGGGACCCCTGGGCACAGAGATGTCCTGGAGTAAGCTGAAAGTAAGTGGACTTGGGGATGGCATCAGGGTGACAATGGGAATGGACAGGCTCTCTTCCAGGGACGTGGGGTCAGGGAGAGACAAAAGGCCGTGGAAGAGGGTTGAGAAGGCACTGTCATGGAATTAAGGGCCAGTGGAAAGCTGTGTTCAAGATGGCAGAAATCAGGAGAGGCTGGAACCAAGAAAGTCCTGTCGGGTTGAGTTTGGGGAGGGCTCAGGGAAGGGACGGCCTCTTTGAGAAAAGTGGTGGCCAGGGAGGGTTGCAGCAGTGGTGAGCAGGTGAGCTGATCTGACAGCTCTGGACATTCAGAAGCCTTCGGGCTGCTATCAACCCCAGGACCTCATGGATGACACTATAGCGTGGGGTGGCAAAGTGATCCCACATGGCACAGGTGCCGTGTGATTACATGGAGAAGGCGGGGTAAAAATGGCAATCAGGCCTTCCAGCCCAGAGTCTCAGAACTGAGGACGCCCTACAGCAGGAGGTAACGCTCAAGCTAGCTGGCCCTCCTCAATCAAGCTATCCTGCCATGTTCCACGTAGGGAAACGGAGAGCAGAGGGTCAGCCTTGGCCACCTAACAAAACCAGGGCCCAAGACCCCAGGCTGGGCCTCCAGTAATCAAGGGCCGGAACTGAGCTGACGGAGGCCTGCACCCTAGTTCCGGTGTGGGTGGAGGGGCCGGCCCTGATTTCGAAACTCGTCTTCCTCTCCTGACGCTGGCAGCCAAGTGCAGCCTCTGCAAAAGGGACTCGTGCGGCAGGCGAAGGCAGCCGTTCGCCGCGGGCGGTCCTCCGCCGGGACGGCTCTGCCGCTGCCTGGGCCTGCGCCCCTCTCTCCCCGAACTCCTATCCCTGACTTCAGGGCCCCGGGGGCCGCCTCCCCACATCGCTAGGCCTGCAGACACCGGCCAGGTGCCAGGGGAAGGTGCTTCCCACTCAGCCGGCGAGCACTTAGTGGCGTCTGCTAGTTGCTCGTCTCCAGGATAGGTGCTCGGTGATGCGAGGGGAGCCGGGGCTTCCCACTTCACCCGCACCCCCCGGCAGAGTCGGTGACCGCGGGACCTGGGGTAGGAAGACCGGGGCGAGCGAGGGGATCCGCGGGGGAAACGCAGGTATCACGGCTGTAGTAGGAC